GGGAGAGGGTACGGGGGGGGCGGCATGGAGGGGGAGAGGAAGAGCAAGGGCGAGAGAGGGCAAGGGACCGGGCGCTGGCATACCAGGGGGGGCAGGGTGGTGGGCGGCGACCGCCGCATACCGTCCTACGGCGGGGACTATCGCTACGCCAGGGAAGACAAGGGCGTCGAAGTGCAGCTGCTGCTGTTCGAATCGTTCGGCGGGTTCGGAAAGGGGGTCCGTGAGATCCTCAGGAAGGCGGCGGACGTACTACAGAACAAGCTGACGCGGGCCCAGTACCTCGATGAGGTGACTTGGACCACCAAGAGCTGGCTGGGGCTGCAGAAGCAGCGCATCTCAGTCGTTCTTCACACGGCAATCGCAGAGCAGATTGTGAATGAGCTTGCCTGTGGCGGGGGTGGGCGGGTGCACGGAGCTAAGTGCCTCGCCACCCTCGCAGGAGTCGCTTAGGCGGCTCCCGTGGTGTACCTGTGTTAGTGCCAGTGCGAGCCAGTCCCGTGCCCAGTCCTGTGCCCAGTGTCGTGCGAGGGAGTTTTCTTGTAAAATTCTTTTTGCTCGGGCGCGGACTTGTTGTGCTGCGCTCCGGCCCGCGCGTTCCTCTGGGCAGCAGCATGCCCCCTCAGCCTCCCGCGCTCCTCGACGACGACGACTGGCTCGCTCCTCCGCTCGAGGCGGCGCTGGGCGAGGTCTTCTGCCGCTTCGACGCCGACGCGGATGGCGCCTGGTCGACGGCAGAGCTGCAGTCGTTTGCGCGCACGTGCAACGGCGGCGATGAGTTCGGTGAGGCGGAGCTGTCGCAGGTGGGCGAGTTCACCACGGACGGGCACGGCCGCCTCACGCGCCGCGGCTTTCTCGAGATGATGCACCTGCAGACGATGGCGCGGCCGGAGGACACTTGGGCGGACCTGCGCGCGCTCGGGTACGACTCGTCGCTCTCGCCAAAGGGCGTGCCCGGCTCGAGCGGCGCCGAGGCGGCGCCGTCGGAGAAGCCAGAGTCGGTGGCAGCGGCGCGGGGCAGTAGAAGCTGACCACGTCTCTTTCCAAGTAGCACTCGTACTCCGCTGTCTTCAGCAGTACGCGCAGTACGATGT